ACAGCTCACAACCATCTATACCTCTAGTTCTAGGAGATCAGATACTCTCTTCTGGCATCCTTGGGTGCCAGGCACACATGTGGTACACACACAGACAAGCAGATACACATACATAAAAAGAAATAAAATTTAAAAGCCAGAAGCATGCCTATAACCTCAGAGCTGGGGAGGAGGCTCCCTGGAACTTGCTGGCCAGTCAGTGTAGCTGAATCAGTGAGCAAGAAGTTCAGTAAGAGAGCCTATCCCCAAAAGTAAGAGTGACTAAGGAAGACACTAATGTCAACCTCTGGCCTCCACATGCATGTGCATACCCACCTACACACACACACACACACACACACACACACACACACACACACATTTAAAAAAAAATAAAGGCCTAGCCAGGCATGATTGACTAATACCTGTAATCCCAGCATTCAAGAGGAAGAGACAGGTGGCTAACCTGGTCTACTAGCAAATTCCAGGCCAGTCAGGGGTACAGGGTAAGACACTATCCAAAAACAGGGCCTTTCAGAAGCTCCAAAATCAAAACATTTCATAAACACTCCAGAGGTGGTGAAGGCAGCATCACAGGCACTACACACACACTTTCGGGTCTCTAATCACGGCAAACCCCAGCAGGCTCTGCCCCCTGGTTCAATCAGGAAACTTCAGCTATTCCATGGCAAGAATCGATTCTACAGATACAAGAGCTTTTTTTATTTTTCCTTTTTTTTTAACACCTTACTTATTTAGAGTGCATGTTTCTGTAGGTGTGTGGATGCATACATACCATCATGCGCATGTGAGTGTCAGAGGACATCTAGTGGGAATCAGTTCTTTCCTTCTGCCAATGTGGATTCTGGGAAATCAAGCTCAGGTCATCAGGTAGGTTTGGCAGTAGCTGCCTTTACCCACTGAGCCATCTGGCCAGCCCCCAGAAACAACAAGATCTATGTGGGATGACAGTAATCGTAGACTTGACTGGGACTGGGAAAAACAAAAATAATGTCAAGATCTACAGGATTCTGGAGTAATAAATTACAAACCAACCACATCAAAGAATGGAACATTATGAAGCTATTAAAAATAGGAGTAAGATGTGGGCTCCAGGAGTATTAATACCCACAGGGCCACCCCTGAGGGGATGGGCACGGGACCTAGACTTTTCAGTATACCCAGGCATCATTTGCACAGCAGTTTGCAATAGGGAAGGCTGAAAACTCCTGTTCACTTGGTCTCAGAGTCTCCATGTCACTGAAACTACTCAGCAGAAAAGGGGTGTAAGGGAGCTGGTGAGATGGCTCACCTGGTAAAGGCACTTGATCCCTGGAACCCATATAAAGGTGGAAGGAGAGAATCAACACTACAAAGTCGTCCTCTGACCTCTACACATACACCATGGCATGCTCAACCACACACACACACACCCCAAAATGTATATACTGCTTTTGATAAGGTTGTCATTAATCTTGATTTTAAAAGAAAAGAGGTATGAGAGGTGGGGACAATACAGACACAATTCCTGCTCTGCATGGAAGGCAGAAACTGAGATTTTCCGACAGGTGGGTATTATGATCCCAGGTGATGAATGCTACCAGGTCCCTGCCAAGAAGCACTTAGGGCTTGGTCAGCAGGGCATGAAGACACAGAAGACATGGTGTGGCCTCTGTGCTCTGTGACACTGCCCTGGGTTGAGACTGGGAACCTTCGCCTCTAACCACTAGTTCCCTTGCAGGTCACAGGACCTTTGTTCCTCTTGGAAGTCCCAGTGACAGGCTCTCTTCACACACTGGCAAGAGCCCTCTGTCCAGATGTGTGTCTTGGTCAAGAATGCTCAGCTCTTGCGACTACTATATGGTGCCCCACCCTCCCAACCCCAGCCATTAGTATCAGGCCACATATCCCAAGTGTCCGAGAGAGCTGCCAGCCAAGGAGGACGAGATAGACCCAAGGGGCAGGAGCACAGGCAGCAGAGGGCATGGCTGGCCTTCAGATCCCAGGGGTCCATCACTAATGTCATTACCAAGGGCAAAGTTGGGCAGGTGATCAGCCTGCAGCTCAGTTCTGTGTCTGTAAAATGGGTGATTTCAACAGCAGCCACCATCCAGGGGTGCTATGAGATAGTCTGTATATTCCTTTCCACAGTACACATGACAGATTAAAAGCCAGGTGCTAATCCCATGGTGACAAAGGGCTCCAGACAAAACCATACTTTAGTCTCTTGCAGTGGAGTACCTCGCATGTATTTAAGTTTAAGGTATTTAAATTGTACCTACACAAAAAGGGCAGAGCAAGGGCTACAACTGGTTAAAAAGAATACAAAGGTACTGGAAGGTATGCTTACATTCACTATAAGCAAAGCTTCAGACAGGATACCCCAGCACCAGGGAGGATGACACACAGGAGGAGCTTGAATTCCAGGCTAGCCTGGGCAACACAGTAAGGTCAGTGCTAGCCTGAGCTATATAGCAAATTCCAGGCCAGTCCAAGCTACAAGGTGACACCCTATCTAAAAGTACAAGGCTTCAACAAGGCACCCCAAAGTTGGAGACATAACAACAAAAAAATTCATAGCTTAAGACAGCTCAACTCCCCCACCCTTCAAGAACAGTTACATAGATTCACATCAATATTTTATCAAACAGTGAAAAATCCCCATAGGTAAACCACTGCCCTGCAGAGGAAGAAAGGGCCTTCCATGAGGAGAGCCCTAGGCAAGAAACTACCCAAAAGCCAACCAAACTTCTGATGCCTTGTGGCAAGGTCAGAAGTTCAACATGCTCAGAGCCTGCACCTGAACACAATCCTTGTGCGCACACACACGCACACACACACACACACACACACACACACTTAAAAACAAGTATACAAAACCATAGCTAATTAAGGACTGGTACTCTACTGATTCTTTCTGTTCTGTTCTATTATACTTTTTAAAAAGCAAAATGCTAGTCAGTCTATTAAGCTGGCCTACTGTGGGAAGAGCTCAGAACAGACAAGCTCCCTGTATTCCTAATACTCCAGCCTCCATAGTACAGCCCAGCCCAGCCCAGCCCAGCCCAGTCCAGTCCAACCCAGCTGCTATTCAACTTGTTGACTAAGTGAAAGCTGAGGAGGCCTGGAAGTTGCGGAGATGTGTAGGAGAGAACACAGGATAGAGCCACTGGGTTCTGGATCCTGAGGGCTTAGCCCCAAGGCCAAGTATAGTCTCCAATACTGCATGGTTTGTCTGGCCCCTCCCTCAGGCTTGGAAAGCACAAGCTACAGAAACTAATAGTCCATCAAGAGGCTCTTAGGACCTTGAATAAATTAAGAAATTATAAAATGCCAGGCATGGTGGCACACACCTTTAATCCCAGCACTCAAGAGGCAGAGGCAGGCAGATCTCTGTTTGAGGCCAATAGGGGGTTCCAGGGCAGCCAAGGCCATATAGTAAGACCCTGTCTGAAAAACAAACAAAAAGAACTATAAAATGACTCCGTAGTCTTGGCTCTTTGGCTCCCTTCTCACTCCCTCCTTCTGCCATAAACCCCATTCCGATATTAAAAGGAGATGGGTTTGTTAGATCTCTGGACCTGAGTTCAATAAAAAGTGAAGCTGTGACCCTGACAGTGGCAGTGCTAGGGTCAGCCTTGTCGGGATCTGCCAAAAGCTCCAGGTCACATCTGAGGAAGCCCAAATGCAGCCCAGTTAACAACCAGCCTCAGTGGCCCAGTGTATCACCTGCTTCTGGGTGTTTCTCAAAAGACTACAAAAGCCAGGACTGTTAAGAACACAAAGGACACCAATCCTGCTCAACCTTCCTGGAACAAGGTCCCTGCCCCCCTAAACAGTCCCATCTGTCAGTTCATCTCGTTTAGGTTCCTTTCAGACTGTGAGAGAGAAAGCACAGGAAAATGGATACAGAATCTAAGGTGGTAACAGGATGGGGAGAGGTCATCTCAGGAAGATAGTTTGTAGACCAGAGGCCAGCTTTAGTTAGGTAGGACTGCCCCTACCCTACAAAGGGCCCTGGATGGTACCCTGAGCTCCTCCCTTAAAATAACAGCATCCCAAGGACTCAGTGACCCCATGTCATATCCCAGTAGCTCCTGAGCATCTCAGTTCCATTCTGGCAATCATCTGGTAAACAAGTGTGATCCCCCCTTCACTCAAGACAGGGAAACTGAGGTTCAGGCTGGAGAAGAGTCTGGCCCACATTTTCTTTAGCTATCAGCAGTCAGTGCTATTACAGCCATTCATCTCAGACTAGGGTGGTCTTGGCCTTTCCTTCTGCAGTATCCTGCCATCTCCTGACCCTTCCCTCTCCACCCCCAAAACCCTGAGAGCAACAGACAAGACCTAGCAGTCAGCAGAGCCCATAGTCCTCCTGCTGGCCCAGACCTACCGGCAGATATCCTGCTCCACTCACGGCAGCAACCAAGGAGGCCATCTAGCTCACCTGAACCCCAGGTTACCACCTTTGCAACAAGACCCAGAAGGTTGACCCTGGCAGTCCCTCTTCTTTCTAACAAGTATGTCTGTTGACAACTGTTACCTTTGGAGGGTAGAAGCAGCACAGGCTGGCACAGCAATAAGACAGAAACAAGGATGGGGCCCAGGCAAAAGGAAAAGAGCCAAGACACACACCCCCACACACACAAAAAAAACCTGTAATAATAAAACCGATGTCAGCAAACAAGAAGCTTTATCAGCCAAAAGAACCAAATGCACTGGGATCTTAGAGCATTTCTGGAGACACTAAACAATGTTCACATGCCAGTTGTACTTATTAGTCCTCAATTACTATACATGACTAAACTGCTTTCATTCATTAAACCCAAATTAGAAGCAAAGGATAAATAGTGTGACAATCCTATGGCCAGGTCATCCCCGAATAAATTTAGAATTATTACAGGCTCATCTTCGCCCCCAACCTTTCTGCTTTAGTTCAAGTTTCCTTTCGGTAGTCAAAACTAGGGTTGCCATCCGCTTTCTGCAGCAACTACTGACCACATAAATTATCAGTCAGCTACCTGGACTCTGGCTCCATCACAAGAAGTTACTTCCAAAGCGTTACTTTTCATCCCGTATTTTCCCCGGCCTTCCCCCAAGCAAAGTGATCTGCAGAGGTGGCTGATGGAGCAACAGGCCCAGAGCCCACCAGGCTGCAGAAAAGGTGCGTGGAAGCCTGGCGCCAGCTCTATAATCTGAGATCCCAAATTCGGAGCCGGAGGCTGCCTGGAGGAGGGCACGGAGGTCAGCGTGCCTGAGCCTCAGTTTCCAGGGCTGGCAAAACCTGAATCCTAGACCCCTGGGGAGGGCTGACTGCTGGCCACCAGGAAACGCACCGGCTGGCCGGGACGGAGCTCGGCCGCCCCGGGTCCCTGCGGTGCCTGGGGCGCGGCGCTCCGGGAGAAGGCCCCAGGGGATGCAGGCGCGGCCCACCCCGCCTCCGGGGCCTGCTCTTCGCCTCCCGGGTAAGCGCCCCACAGCTCCAGCAGCATCCCAGATCCCTCCGCCCGGCCAAACCCCAGCTCCGCGCACCTACTCACAGATGAGCGGCAAGCGCGGCCGCCTTTGTATGCAAACACCCTGCTCGGTGCTGCAGTAAAGGGCGCGCGAGCTGGGGGCGGGACGGGGGCGGGGACGGAGGCGGGCCGGGGGCGGGGCTGGGGAGGTGCGAGGGGGACTCTGGAGGCACGCGAGCCGTGGTTCCTTTGGGGACCCGCCGACCCCCAAAGCCCCAAAGTGAACCGTCTGCCCTGGCTTTTTCCGGGAGTGGGGACCCTCCGGCCACATCTCTGAGTCTCCTTCCCAGAACCAAAGCCTTCCATTTCAACAGCCTGTCACATGCACAGGGATGCCTTGGAGTCCGGGAGGGCCAAAATACACCTAAGGGGCTGATAGGGAAACATTCCTGGGCCTCGTCTATCCTCCTGTCCCTCTACCTCAGAACTTCAAGGGCGCTGTGCTTGACCTTTCTGACTCTTGGCCTGGTTTCTTCAACGTTAAAGTGGCAGGCTTGTTGCCCACACTGCCATCTACACTCAGTTCTCATGGTGTGTGATGTCTCACTATGCCAATGATCAATTTCAACTAACATGTCCTCCCGCCTCCCTCCTGGCTTACATTCTCCACCAGGGAGCAAGGCAGGGTATGAATAAGTAATAACGGGATGAAATGGTTGAAGTCAAATCAGCAGAGGGTGATACAATGGAACTGAGACCTCGGGACAATAAATTTGTGTTTTGGTTTGGTTTGGTTTTGAGACACAGTCTCATGCATCCCAGACTGGCCTCAAACTTGCTATGAAGCCAAGAATGACCCTGATCATCTATCTAATCCCAAGTGTTGGGACTGCAGGCATGCCTCACCGTCCCAAATTTGTGCAATGTTGGAGATAGAGCCCACGGCTTCCTGCATGCAAGTATGCTAGGCAAGCACTCTACCAAATGAACTACACCCCCAGCCCAAGACTGTATCATTCGGGAGCGCTCTCTCTCTCTCTCTCTCTCTCTCTCTCTCTCTCTCTCTCTCTACTCACACACACACACACACACACACACACACACACACACACACACACACACCCCAAGCCAGGTGTAAACTCACTCTAGCTGGGCTTGGGGCAACTATAAGCCAACCACAAGGATTCTCCATGCTGCCCACAAAAGTCCCTGAGGCTGCTAGACCCCAGAAGGAACGCATCCTGTCCTCTCCGCTGCCCTCCAGGCTTTCTGGGAAACAAGTCCTACTTCCTGTTACTTAAATGAAGCCTTAAAAAAAATGATTTTTTTTCATATTTGAAGATGGGGAAGGGGGGCATCTAAACACATAAAATCCAGCCCAAAGCCCTCTCCCCACAAAATGAACCTGGGTTCTGGTACTCCCCTAGGACAGCTCTGATTAGTATGAGTCTCGCTGGAATCACAGCAAGTTGGGTCCAGCTTTATTTACAGCTGGTGGGAAGAGGCATAAGCACGACATTTTTTTTCAGGCACACGAGGAGAAGAAAACACTAGGTCAGGTTGCATAGCTAAGGAAACTGAAACTAAAGTCTCTGAAGCCTGGTGCTCTAACCCTGCACTGTCTGGAGCCCCCCTGGTGGGGCCCCAGGCTGTGTTGTCAGCAACCTGGCTGGTGACTGAGCTGTGACTCAGCCCTGGAGCTGAGGTGATCTCCTGGGCCAATCCCTGGACCTGCAGCATTTAGTCCAACTGGAAAGAGGGGAAATAACCTAACAACTCCTGCTGGGGGAGGAAGGAACCAAGCCTGGGCTCAGCAACCCAGCATCATCCTGGGTAGAGGACTCAGTTTCACAATCTGGGAAGTGAGTAGAGATGCTCATTTTAAGTAGGTCCATTTTGAGAATGAAAAGGACTTGGTGCAGACTTGACTTTCAATTCTAAAATCCAGTATAATGAGGAATGGGAATTCCAGAAGGATATGGTGACTGCTGCCCACTCCTCAGAGGGTTCCCCCAGAAAGAACAAGTGTCCATCGTTAAGGACAACAAGCCCTGTCTTGCTAAGAACTGTTCTGCTAAACAAGGGAGAGTGAATTGTTCCTCGCCTTGCCAGGGACGGGTCCCTGGGGATGAAAATAAGAGCCAACCTTCTAGCTGAAAACCCACCTCCCTCATTTTCAGACAGTAACAATTAACTGTAACGTCCTAAGATTCTGTTTCCCAGATCAATCACTACACAACTAAGGGCCTGGTCCAGGGGTGCCTGGGCGGAGGTGTGTAGGAGGCTGAGCAGCCCTTTTCATGGAACCCCATAGCCATTGTAGGCAGACAAACAGCTGACTGATCACCCCACTCCAGAGATTAGCTATGTAAAGTCTGGATAGAAAGGATCTCAGGAGTGCCAATGATAGGACTTCTAGGAAGGGAGGGATTTTCCAGGTAGAAGTGGACTGCCCCAGTTGTAACCTTCCTTCCTAACAGGACTGAAGATAATCTAAAGAGACATTGTGCCCCTCCCTTTGGCTATCAGACTGTTGAGACAATGGACCCCATTTCTCTAGGAATCTCATGCAGCCCATGGGACTGTGGCTGGCCAGAGAGAATTCCCTGGGAGAAGCGAAGGGTGTCATAGGTCCTGGTTCTACAGGGAGAGGAAGAGAAGGGTAATCCATGGATAGCAAAGGTCAGGAGCAAACACAGCAGGGAATGAAAACTTCAGAAGGTCACCCTGGGCTATCGAAAGGCACTAGTTAGGGTAACACTCTAGGAGGGCAAAGGAAGTCTCAAGGAGGTATAGAGGCAACTGCCAGAGGAGAGCAAGTGGGGACCTTGGGGGCCACACCACTTCAATCTACCCCAACACACTAAGAAGTAGACAGCAGCATGTATCCTCCTCTGCCACACGCAGGCCACAACAGGCTTCCCGGGAGCCCAGGCATACAACACAGCAGCAAAGCAGGCAAGCTCAGAGCCAACAAAAGCGGGTGACATCTACACTGTGACCATAGTGTCTGTACCCTGTCTCTCAGAGGATCAGCCCCTGCCCATGGCCTCCCTCACTCAGCATCGTGGGGCTGTGAGCTTGGTGCCCAGGCTGCATGGGGATAACTGTCCTCAGGGGCATACAGTCTAGGGTAGTGATCGTTGAGTTCAGCACTGCTATGAACCCAAGGGTTGCCCACTGATGAAGGGTTTTCCCAGTCCACTCCCCAAGCTAGAGGATTCAGCCCAGCTTGGAGTCCAGAGCATGGACTACTCTAAGACAATTCAGGTCAGGTAGAGGAGCTGAATGCAGGGGCTAGCCAACGCTATGTGCAGAGAAGTTGGGGTGCACTAGGGCTGGCAGAAACAGTGGCTGGCTTTGGGTGGGCAGAGATAGTCATAACAAATATGTAGCTGTCTCTCCCTGAGGGCAAGCAAGACGGACCAGGATAACCTTTCTCCTCTGGTCACCTGGGAAGGATTCATAACCAACCGAGCTAGGGCAGAAGGCAGTGTGAGGGCTAATGCAGGAAAGGAGACACCAAGGTACAAAGGAAAGTGACAGAAGACACCCTCAGTGTGACCGGGGACTAGAGGAAAGAATTCCATGACTTAGGAACAGCAGGTGCCACTGCGGGAAACAGAAACTGTTCCACTGGGCTCTAGTCCTAGGAAGAAAATAGCCCCTGAGTCAGTCTTCTGAGTCACTGTGACCTTGTTAGACAAGTGTGAGGGGCACCAGTCCTGTGAGGAATGTGTCTCAAGTCACACATTCCCAGATGGGTGATCAACAAGGATTGAGAGGGAGAGAAACCTTCAGGGTTTGAGGGGGTGGGAACATGGTCAGGTTACAGGATATACTTAAATGAAAATGTTTATGAAACCCATCTTTATGAAAATGAATATAAACCAATTAAAAAATAAAACTTTATAGGCAGGAAAAGTGAGGCCGAGAGAATCATCCAGTATCACTAATGCTTATGGCTAGCATTTAGATACTGTTTTTTGTTGTTATTTATTGGGGGATTGCTGTTTTGGGGGTTTTGGTTTTTTGTTCTTTTGGGTTTGGGTGGATTGGGGGGGTTGTTTTTATTTTTTTAGATAGGATATCCTTGTAGCCCCAGCTGGCCTGGAACTGGCTATGTAGATCAGGCTAGCTTCCATATCATAGAAATCTGCCTGCCTCTGACTCCCAGGTGTTGGGATTAAAGGTGTGCACCACCACACCTGGCACATTTAGATGCTATTTACAAGCTAGACCCAGTTCTCAAATACATTTCTTCCTTTAACAGGTCTTGTGGAGTTGATACCTTTGGTGATTCCATATGGTTAAGGAGGAAAGAAACTAAGGCACTTAGAGGTGACTGAAGTTACATGGCCAGTTACAGAAACTAGACCTCATGGCATACCTTGCTTGGCATGCCATCTGCTCCCCAGGGCCTCACAAGAAGACTCTCACACTGTGTCCTTCCCTGGGGTCTCCTCAGCTTGGGTGCTCCATATCAATGGAGTCTCGTGTTTTCCTTTTCAAGGTAGCCTTGCCTGTGTGAGTATTTTGCCCCTGGTTTAGCCTAGCACAAGACAAGGCCAGCTCAGTGACACTTGCACATTGTATCTGTGATTTCCCTGTGTCGTTGGCACTTTGATGGCAACCAGCCCACAGGGGCTGTTGATCTGAAGCGTACAAGGATGCCTTTGAGGGTGTGGCTTTAGTCCAATATACCCTCTCGGTTACAAGAGGTGACATGGGTGGAGACACACATCTAGGGCTTAAAATCACAGAGGCCTGAGTTCCAGTCCAGCCCATCCCTGTGGCAGGTGTGACTGAACCTCAGCTTCCTTGGCTGTTCATCGTTGAGGTGGCTAGGT